GTTATAAAAAATAAATTTAAATGTAGTAGAGTCTTGATATGTTTCACTACATAACACTAGTTACTTCATTTTTTTCCAGCATATCTATTCATTATAATTTTCTAGTATTCTACTTCATAATTTTTATGACTTCTCAACTCTCACTTTCCTTTTATCAATCTTACAATGGCTGCTGACTGTGCCTCTGGAAATAAGAGCAACATAAAACTGAAAAAGTTCAACTGAAAAATAAAAATTTAAACATAAAAAAAAACAGAATACTGAATCACTGTAGAAAAGTTTCATGGAAAAAAAGCACACGCACACACATACTAACCCTGAAGGCAGGAGCCCCAGAGCCCCCATTCGTGAAGTGGAGACATGGCAGTGGCTGTGGCTCTCTCCTCGAAGCTGAAAAGGACAAAGGGATGGACAGGCTGGGGAGTTGAAAAGCACTCACGGCAGTTTAGTCGTGAAGTTCTTCACACTGCTGAATATTTCTCTTAACCATTATATACACAGCCTATCAAGGCCTACACAGAAAGGGCAAGAATGAGAGTAACATCACTTGTAATGAGGTAATTAAAATGATGCTCTTGATGATCATTTTGATCCTAATGATGATAATAATAATAATCATAATGACTCTGATAATAATACTGGTCATGTAAACCAACTAATAAGAACTTTATACTGGGACCTTTACTGTATTTTTTTTTTCATTTTTTTTTAATGCACAGATGCAAATGAAACTTTACGGGTAGATTGCTCAAACACCTAAATACAATAGTGAAGAGTTTCAAAGAACCCCACTTAGAGAAGAAAAAAGAGGAACAATCCAGTAACTAAATATAGCAACTTTGATACCTTAGAAGTGCAATGTAAAAAAAAACAGATAACAGTTTGAAAATTTGTTATCCTTTTCTCTGTGAAAAATTAACAAATGAAATACAGAATATCATTTGAGCTTCATGCAAAGAAATACCAATAAGTGTTGTGAAACACTCAATGCCTAACACATTACATGAAAATTAAGTGAATCCCATTAAAACTAACAACAGTTACAAAATAAAGTAGAAAAAACACTTGAGAAAAAAACAGTTGAAGTTCCTGCGAGCTCCTCTCTGCCCAGGGCCTGTGGGTCATTTTCATTATAATTTCCTGACAATCACCATGTTCTTGTCCAAAGCAACTTGGAAAACAATTCTTTCTCTTTCTCATTCATATTTCCCGGTGCCTAAAATGACGTTATGCACTCCTTATTACCTTCCCTTCCCAATTATCATAATTCGTGTGCTTTTATTCTTTATTTTATTAATTGTTTATTCTGTATTTTGTTTTTTAGATTTATCATTATCGCTTGGGTTTTATGTTATCTTTCTTTTCATTATTATCATTTTTCTTGTCTTCCGTTATCTTTCCTTTTATCATCGTTCTCTTTTATTATACTTCTAGCTTTATATTTTTATTTTGATTATCTTCCATTTTTGTATGCTTGTTTGCGACATGTTAGGGGGAGAGCGAGCAACAGTTTCGTGATTTTCTTTTCATGCAGGGAAAGACAGCCGCTTCTGGTGCTTTCGGGGCATAACTATGGCTTATCCGAGCACATTTTCTACACTCAGTCATCTCACAGAAAGTTTAATTTGCATAAAAGACAGGAACAGAGTCGGACGGACAGGGTTGCCACGCCGACGCTCCTTCGTCACGCCGTGGTAATGCTGCTTGTCACGCATTAGCCGATAAGCTTTTATCATCGATAAGGATTTCTTTTTTATTAGAACAACAGTGATCGGAAGGCCTTTCTTTCTACCATCAATAATGGGAAAAGCGTTTAAAAACACAAAATCGGATTGCAAGGCCGTTGAATTAGCATGACATTGTGGAAAGGCTTGGAGGGGGGGGGGCTTAAGCCCGGGATAATACTGTAATTAATGTCATATCTAAATTATCTTAACAGAATAGAGATAGCACTCTGACACTTTAGAAAAATTTTAACTGTAGGAATTTTTCGTTGTTGGAAGGGTGTTTAGCTCAAATACGGTTCAGTTCCCACTGAAGAAAAAAGCGACAACAGTCCTTTGAATAAGTTGCATGTCATTAAAGTAACTTATAAGATAAGTTGACACGCGATACTTACGAAATAAATGAAAGTCCCAGACAATCAGCCCACTGTCTCTCGCTCCGTGGGCGGCGCCGCACTGGCCCCGCTGCCTGCTCGCGGCCTTTATATTTGCCCAAACGTTGTGCAATAAGGCCATTTTCTCCTTGTTATAGCGGTTAAAAGTGATCTAATGCTCATCTTATAATCAAGATTACCGTAGGTTTCTCATGACATTATTTGTGTTTCATTTCGATTTGTATTCACGAGGGGAAAAAAATACATAAATGGCGAACTGGTTACCCTCCTCCTCTTTCCATTGCACCATACTATAAAACGTCAATTATTCACCATTATTTCATATGTATGTATATACTCCTCTCGTTTCCACCACATCATCTACTCGCCTTTACTTGCTCCCTCCTCCCCTTTTCCTCCTCTCTCTCTTCCTTTTTCCTTCTTCCCTCTTCTCCCCCTTTTTCCCTCCTCCTCCTCCCCCCCCCTCCTCTCTCTCTCTTGCTTTCTCACCTCCTCTCACTCACTCAGTCACCCCTCCCGTTTTCTTCCGTTTTCTTCTGTTTTTCTTGTTTTTTACCATTATCTTTCCCGTTCGGTGTTATTATCACCATGTTTTTTATCTATGTTATGTTTTGTATATGTATGTCTCGTGTTGTTCACCAAAAGAGTGACCCACTGAACCTCGCTCTCAGCTCCTAGGAGCTGGAAGGGAGGCAGGCGAGGGTCTCACCTGCAATAGGATATCATAGCGGGCCACACCTACTATGATAATCCCTAGCAGGCGAAAAAAATAAAAAATAAAAAATAAAAGTGTATATGTACGCATACGTATGTATGTGTACATGCAGGTGTGTGCGTGTGTATGTGTGTATGTGTATATATATGTCAACGGCCTGACTTATTGAAGTAGCATTGGAATGGTAATCTATTGGCATTTCTGACTTGTAAGACCATTATATACCATGAATTTGGAGTTTTCCAATGGTTGTATGGTAGATGGAATGGTAGTTCAGGGGAACTCCACATTCCATTGAAGCTACAGAGTGTGGTGTTTATCCTATGGAGGGATAAGCCTTTAGTGTTTTACATGGCACTATAGACACCTGGTCTCGGGGACATAAGGGTGATCCTCTATAGGCCTTGTAAACAAGGGCACCACTGTGCTCTGTGCTGGGTCGGCACGGTCACGGGAGGCCGAGGCGCTTATGTGGCACTTGTGCCGCAGTTCAGTACTAACTGTCGTCGAACATGGGTGTTCGTGGGGGTTTATCTTGGGTAGATATTCCTAATTTCGGTTATAACAGTACTGAATTCCGTGTGACTATACGAAGTAGATGAGACATGGGTCTGCATCTCTTCGTACTCTCCAAGGGGAGAAATTTGGACTCGTCAGGAGACGAGGAAATTCAATTGTAACAGTAAGTACCCATTAAAGGTATAACATTATTTCATGTGTTTATAATCACCAATTGATATAATACTGAAATAAGTGAAGTTTACAAGAAGGAAAGTCACACGTAAAACTGGACGTATTATTCTTATAACAAACACTGAACCCGCTCTGGAGAGAGTGGAATAAAAATCTGTTATCCAGTGGCCTACACGCGAGTATATTTGGTTATATTCACTTGTTGCCATCTTTACTCAAGGGTGGTAAGAAGTGGTATAGCTGCACTCAAAAGACGGCTAGGTAACATATATAATGCATTCCTATGTGTATCTCCATGTTTGCGTTCGCACTTTTTATGTTACCCGACCTTTGCTATGTTTAGCACACATATCTTCTCATGTCCTTCTTCGAGCACTGACGCTATTTTCAACAAAAAATAAAAATAAAAGGTATCTCCTGTCCACCTGGCCTCTCATCCAGCAACAAGATGCTCCAACAACAACCACCCTCCCAACCAGAAAATAAAGAAAACACCACGCATGGGGTCTCGCCCTCCATCTTTATTATTTTTTTTTTTCAATTTCTAGGTAGCTAGCTACCATAGCTTCCCTTCCCCTCCTTTACCTAAGGAACCCTCCTCCTCCTCCTCCCCCTTTAGTTCATCCGACCGAAGAGGTCCGGGCCATAGCCGAAGGCCCGGGCGAAGCTAGAACTTCGCAAATCGCAATTGATTTTTTTTTTTTTTTTTTTTGATTGGGTGAGGAATTTTGGAATTTTGTATGACCACAGGGCATCAGTTGGGAGGGGGGGGGGGGGGCTTGCGGGGAATTTGCCCTCAAGATTAGTCCATGAAACTGTACTGCAAGCAAGTAGTAGCAGAACGACAACAGCAACATATGAATAAATTTGTATATATTATCCGTGAATACTGGAAAAATGTTGCGTATAGAAACTTAGAATGCACCATACCATCTTATTTCTGCTGGACAATCTTGTTTGAATGTGCTTAAAAAATGATAAATACCAACATAGCAGATCAGCATGCTGTAGTTACAAGACTGTTAAATTTAGTCTTTGTGTAAGCATCCTACACAAAAATCCACAACCACAAAAAATGGCGCCAACGTTTATTTAGATGAATGCGCAAGCGCGAGCGTGTTCGTGCGCAACTAGTTAATGCGCATGCGTGCCGGACGAAGAGCCAAAGTGTGATGAGAACCGGTGCCGGACGAATAGCCACGGCGTAATCCAAAAGGGTTTTGTTTTCAGTCTGTTGAGTGTTATTCACACTTGCCTCCCCCCCACCCCCACCCCCTCAAAAAAATCCAGTTAATTGATCTCACTTCGCTCACCGGCTCGCCCCTTGCCCCCCCCCCCTAAAAAAAAAAAAAAAAAAAAAAAAAAAAACTGAAGCTGAAATCACGGCCTTGGTTGCACTGCTGTCCGAAATCTGGGCATCAGGCTCAGCTGAGCGGTGACTCAAGGGTTCCATCGCACACAAAGGTTGGTCACTTCCAGTGTAGCTGCTCATTAGAAAATATACTTTTAACTTAGATGAGGGTTGAAAAGGGGGGCTGCCGATCCATTCGTCTGCTCTGCCGCCTGTCCTCTGGCTTTCCGAACTGCCTCTCCTCCGCTCACGGTCGTCCACGTCTCCCGGTCTGCCTCCCCCAGGAACAGCATCAGCTGGCCCACGCCGTACGCGTCGGAAAGACTGCCGCACGGGCCCGCCCTCTCGCTCCCGCAGATCTCGGGGGCGTGGCACAGGCACTCGTTCTACTGGATCCCCAGCCTCAGGAGGGCCCCTGCCACCAGGGTCAGACCGAAGTCAATCACGGTCACCCGGGCTACCTCCGCGCCCATCTTCACGCACACGTTGGCTGGCTTGATGTCGTTGTGGGCGAGCCCGAGCTTCACAACAGACATCTTTTGCTCCGCGTGCAGCCGGCCGACCACATGGGCGTCGAGGGTCTGGCTGGCGTAACTGGTGACCAGGCACATCCTCTCCGGACACACGCCCACGAGGCGCTGGAAGCCGTCGTACTGGGCGAGCAGCGTCATGGCCTTCGCTTCCACGATGAAGGTCCGGAACGTCTCGAGGCTCTGGGCCTTTTTCACCACCAGCTCCTTCTCCAGGTTCAGGAAGGTGGTGCCGTAGCCGCCCTTGCCCAGCTGCCTGGGCGCCATGTCCGTTGTGGGCCAGTTCCCTATTAGTTTGAAGGCGCATGTCCCGGAGGAGCTTTACGCTTTCTTTTTCGACTATAGCCTTTGGCCGGTGATCATACCACTCCTCGTTGTGTTCTAGGTTATTCTCTTTGCAAAGCTGCCAATGTATGATCTGGGCTACTTTGTCGTGCCTCGTGTTTACACTGTTTTAGCGCAAGCTTTCCGCACTCAGAAACTATACGAGCAACAGTATCTTCTCGTTCGCCACAGATTCTGCAATTGGGAGATATATCAACTCAATCAATTCGGTGTTGTATTGATCTTGTCCTGATAGCCTGTTCTTGACCAGCCATCAGTGTCCCCTCTGTGGCCTCCTTCCAATCACCCTTCCTCAACCATTCCCAACTCTTCACGTCTCTGAATTCGGTTGCTTTGAAGAATACACTGAAGTTTCTTCTCTAGAGATGTATTCTTTCTGTTGGTCGAAACATATTGTATGTAGTCAACAGCTTCTTTTTCCTACGATCTAATGACTGGAGTTCATCTGTTTTCCAGCCTACTATTCCTGCTGTGTATCTTATAATTGATACAGCTCTTGCGTTAAGGGTGTCACCACGTTTTAAGGCTGATTTTTTTCTATAAGAGATAGGATGATAATTTTTTTAGTGAAACTTGTATATATAATGATGATTATACACAGCAATTTTTTTTGAATTTGGTGCACAAATATTCGCACAATATAAAAAATATATTTTTCGCTTGGCAAAAATAATATCACATTTCAAGGTCCCTCTTCATAGAAGCCAATGAACATAGCCACATGACAATTTTTTTCATGAATTATCATTTCAGACATAGCAAAACTCCAAACCCAGAATTGTTCTAACTTCAAGCATAACAGTTTTCCAGATTGTTTTTGATTGGTACCATTCGTATATAAAAAAATACTAAATACAGGCAACGCGGTGACACGGGGCAAGTGAGGACAGACGAATGTAAGCGAAGGGAGGTCAGATCAGGTGGTGTGGACCAGGTTACGACGGAGAGTGTTCACCTGGCGAAAGATCAGTCTGCAGTTGGGAGTATGAAGAGGGCGGCGGAGAGAGTTGAGCGGTGAGTAGTCTCTTTAGGAGAGGATTCGTGGTAGAAGGTCCGCCGTGCCCTGGATAGCGCGGCGTCGAGGACATGACGAGGGTAGCCCAGTTTGGAGAACGAACGACGCAGAAAGTCGATCTCTCCATCCAGGTACTGGGGGTCACAGATGCGGAGGGCGCGGAGGAACAGCGACGTGGCAACACCTCTCTTTACATGTAGAGAGAGGTAAGAGAAATGTACGTACATGCCACTATGCATGGGCTTCCTGTATATGGAGAAGAAGTGGTCAACAGAGCGATGAACTAGAGTGTCCAAGAAGGGGAGCTTGTTGTCAGCCTCCCATTCCACCTTGAAACGGATGGAAGGGGAGAGAGAGTTCAGCTGGGTCAAGAAGTCCGAGAACAAGGCAGGGTCATGAGGCCAGAGAGCGAAGACGTCGTCAACATATCTTAGCCAAACCGTCGGACGAAGGGAGATGGAAGGGTGAAGCTCAGATTCGAAGAATTCCATAAACAGGTTAGCCTGGACCGGAGAGAGGGGAGAGCCCATGGCAACACCGAAGGTGAAGCGACCCTCAAAGGAAAAGGAGTTCGATTCCACACAGACGAATCAGCTGGAGGAAGACGTCGGTGGGCAGCGGGAGACGAGGATCCTCTGGGGGGAGGCTCCTCTCAAGGAAAGCGAGGACGTCATCAAGCGGGACCTTGAACAGGGAGTCGACATCCAAGCTGTATATAATATATATATGATA